CGACTCGGTTGACATGAACCTGAAGTGCTGAAAACCCAGAACACACACAGTTGGCATCAATCCTGGATAAAAAAAATCACTCAAGACAAAGCCAGGATCCAACCAGCCAAAGGATGATTCAACTCACAGGGAAGATAGAACATGGTCAGGGGTTCAGGGCCTTGGTCTTATCTAAGATCATTATGCCCTCCAGAACTTTCTTGAGTTAGCACTGGTACCAAGTTCACTCCAATGTAACGGAACCATCTATTGAAGCTGGCAAAACAAAAAATAGAAAACAAAACAAAAAAGACAGAGTATATTTTAATGAGGACAATTTGATTTGCTGGAGCTTTAAGACCCAAGACAATTCATTATTCGACCTGAACACTGCTCTGATGGCTCCATTTCAATACCAGTTCTTGACATCTGAGTACTGTATATGTAATTAGAAGCAACTTCCTGGCCTTTTTCTTGTTTAAAAAATCTTTTTATCCAGTTTATTTCACTCAGCATAATTATATTGAGAACCATCCACGTTGCTGCATGTGTCAACAGTTTCTTTCTCTTGATTGCTGAGCTGTATTGCAGTATATGGATATACCACAGTTTCTTCATCCATTCCCCTACTGATGGACATTAAGATTGTTCCAGTTTGGGGCTATTACAAATAAAGGTGCTATCTACAAGTCTTTGTATGGACATATACTTCATTTCTCTTGGGTAAATACCTAGGAGTGGAATGACAAATTCCAAAATGAGTTGTACCATTTTGTATTCCCACTAGCAGCGTAGGAAGTCCCACTTGTTCCACATCTTCACCAATACTTGATATGGTCAGTCTTTTAAATTTAGACATATCACTGGCCAGGCGCAGTGGCTCGCACCTGTAATCCCAGCACTCTGGGAGGCCGAGGCGGGCAGATCACTTGAGGCCAGTTCAACACCAGCCTGGCCAACAAGGAGAGACCCCATTTCTACTAAAAAAACAAAAATTAGGCAGGCATGGTGGCTTACTCCTGTAATCCCAGCTATTTGGGAGGCTTACGTGGGAGGATCACCTGAGCCCAGGAGGCTGAGGCCGCAGTGAGCCCTGATAGTGCCACTGCACTCCAGCCTGAGCAACAGAGCAACACTCTTGTCTTAAAAAATGAAAGCTTTTCATCACAAATGCACAAATTTGTGACATCAGACTTTTTTGTTCATCTCTCTGCAAATTCAAAATACTTCTAATTGTGCAAAGAAAAAAATCACTAAAACAGGAAAGAAAAAAACAATGACGACAACCACAAACTCTAACCTCAGACCTGAACATTACTAAGCAAAATAAAATGTTCCTTCATGTTCCACTGACAGTGATTCTCTGCAGTCCAACAGAGCAGCCACTAACCATGTGTGACCTTGGAGTACTTGAAATGTGCTGTGAATGTAAAATACACACTGGAGTTCCATGACTTCGTATGAAAAAACGCATGTAAAATATCCCATTAATAGTTTTTATATTGATTATGGATTAAAGTAATATTTTGGATAAACTAAGTTAAATAAAATATATTGTTAAAATTATTTTCACCTGTTTTTTTTTACTTTATAATTTTTTTTTTTTTATTTAAATTGACTTTCATTTGTAGGAGCTAAAAATGAGGTCATGGAGGTAGACAGTAGAATATAATAGATACCAGAGGCTGGGAAGGGTGGACGTTGAGAGCTTGGTTAATGGATAGAAAAAAAAAACTTAGATGGAACAAGTGAGTTCCAGTATTCAAGAGCAAAGTAGGATGACTATAGTTAACAATTTCTTGTACATATATATATATATTTTTTTTATTTTTATTTTTTATTTTTGAGACAGTCTCATTCTGTAGCCCGTGCCGGAGTGCAGTGGCGCGATCTCTGCTCACTGCATCCTCTGCCTCCTGGGTTCAAGCAATTCTCATGCCTCAGCCTCCCTCGTATCTGGGATTACAGGCACAGGCCACCACACCCAGCTAGTTTTGTGTTTTTAGTAGAGAAGGGGTTTCACCATGTTGGCCAGGATGATTTCAAACTCCTGACCGCAAGTGATCCATCCACTTCGGCTTCCCAAAGTGCTGGGGTTACAGGTATGAGCCACCACGCTGGGTCAGTTTCTTGTGTATTTTAATTTCAAATGAAGATTTGAAATGTTCCCAACACAAAGAGATGATGTATGTTTCAGGTGCTGGATATCCTAAATCCTCTGATTTTATCATTACACGTTCTATCCACGTGGGCAAATATTACTGTACACTATAAATATGTAAAATTACTGTTCCTCAATTTTTAAAAAATTGATACATACATTTACATATTTATAGGGCACAATGTGATGTTTTGAGATACACACACACACACACACACACACACTCTCTCTCTCTCCTTGTGGAACGATTAAATCAACCTAATCTATTTCCTTGTGCTTTTTAAAAAAGCATCACTATAAAATTTTAAATTGTATATATAGCATATATAATATTTCTATGGGACAGCACTGATCAAAAATTTTTAAAGGAGACTCTGAAAATAATATACCTTCAGCCGGGCGCAGTGGCTCACGCCTGTAATCCCAGCACTTTGGGAGGCTGAGGCAGGCAGATCGCGAGGTCAGGAGATCAAGACCATCCTGGCTAACATGGTGAAACCCCGTCTCTACTAAAAATACACAAAAAAATTAGCTGGGTGTCATGGCAGGCGCCTGTAGTCCCAGCTACTTGTTAGGTTGAGGCAGGAGAATGGTGTGAACCCAGGAGGCGGAGCCTGCTGTGAGCTGAGATCCCACCACAGCACTCCAGCCTGGGTGACAGACCAAGACTGCCATCTCAAATAATAATAATAATAATAATATATCTTCATATCTTCAACTGGCAAAGAAAGAAAGACGTGTGCGTGCGTGTGTGTATATATATATACACATATATATATAATTTCCCACCCTATTTCTCCGAGAAGAAAATGGTACAGCAGAGAGGGCTTAGATCTGGAACCAGGACTACTCTTAGGTTCCAGGCACAATTCTTACTGTCTGGTCTATGTGTCCTTGAATAAATCATTCAGCTTCAGCCGCATGCAGTGTCTCACGCCTGTAATCCCAACACTTTGGGAGGCTGAGGCAGGTGAGTCACCTGAGGTCAGGAGTTTGAGACCAGACTGGCCAACATGGTGAAACCCCGTCTCTACTAAAAATACAAAAATTAACTGGGTGTGGTGGCACACGCCTGTAATCCCAGCTACTCGGGAGGCTGAGGTAGGAAAATCATCTGAGCTCAGGAGGTGGAGGGTTGCACAGAGCCGAGATCTCACCACCGCACTTCAGGCTGGGCGATAGAGGGAGATTCAGCCTCAAAAAAAATTAAAAAAAAAAAAAAAAAAAAAAAACACTGAACTTCCCTTAAGTTTCCTGACCTTTTTTTTTTTTTAAAAATTCAGAAAAGTCAACAAAGGCCAGGTGTGGTGGCTCATGTCTGTAATCCCAATCGTTTGGGCAGCTGAGGCGGGAGGACTGTTTGAGCCAGGGAGGTTGAGGGTGCAGTGATCCTTGATCATGCCACTACACTCCAGCCTGGGCCACAGATCAAGACCATCTCCGTAAAATAAATAGGTAAAAGTCAAGCGCAAACGTATTACACTCCTGTTTTACAAAGTATTTTTCCATTACGGCAGATCTTCAGCTTACAAATTAACTGGAGGTGGGATCCAAACATACTAAGATTATACAAGGCAAAATGAAGAGAGCCTTAGATGAGCCTCTGTGTTTGTGTGGCATGCGCACGTGTCTGCATGTGTTTTAAAGGTGAAAGAGTACACTGAAGGACTCAGGGTAAACTCTAAGCACTTAGAAGGCTCCTTCTAACTCTAAAATTCTATTCTCTTAAAAAGCCTTAATCACACTGTACGCTACTACATGGTTTAGTGATACACGGAACAGATATTCCGTCAAGTTTTCCCGGTAAACACAATGACACATTAGGAAGTAAATGACATGCCGTAATGAGGTTCTACTTTACCCGAACAAAAAATTCTGTAGTACAGTTCAAGTTTAACCAGGACAAAATAACCTCCAGATAGCTCAGAGAGTTTTGTTTTGTTTTTAATACAAGCTAACTTTTGGTGACAAGCACACACAAGAAAAGTGGATTTTTCTTTAGCAGAAAACACTTAGCAAGTTAGGCTAGCCTCCGAAGAGACTAGCCACAGCACTCCTCACACCAAACACAAAATAGACACAACAGTCTCCTCCTCCTCGTCCCTCCTCTATCTTTAGGGGTAATGATATACCATGACACTCAAATGCTGTTATTGCAGTGGTACTTCCATAAACTGGACAAACATGACAACTATTGTATTTAGGTCACAAACTCACAAAAGAAAAATCCATTCTGAAAGTAAGTTGACAACTATATCATCATATAAATAACCTAAACTTCTCATGAAAACTCAAAGATCCCTAACATGAGGAATTGCTTGTTTCCAGCATTCCTTGTAGAGGTAGAATATCCCCATTTTAAGGGTAGGAAAACTGAGGAACAAGTACTGAACTCACAAGTCTTCGCTGAGATAAGGAAACGTAATAGCATAAATTTTGCTAGGAAATGCATATTATGGTTTTGTAAGACAGTCTAACCCACGGTCCAAGAAGCCCAGATTTTTATCTGTTAATGGCATGAAAGGCTTTCTGAGAGGATTCTATTGTTCTCTCAGAAAAAGAAGAGTAACAGTCCCAAGTCATTCTGGTTTCCCTTAGTAACTCTTTCTTAAATAGTTGTGAATGTTATCTACATAGTTTATAGCTTGTTCTTATTCTCAAACTGGTATACCAGTTCTAAGGTCAGAATTTTATCACGCTCCCTAAAAACTACTATCAGAACTTCTCATCTGTCCCAAGATGATTTTTAAGAAATAATTTAAGGCATTTCTTAAAATTCTGGAATTTGGTGGAAAAGCTCATGTTTGCCTATCCAAACCCTCCATGAATGTAAGCGTCTTCATCCACAGCCCTCCTACACATTTCTCTTTCCTGAAGGCAACCTAAAGGCAAGCAGTATGGGTCAGCGGAACCACAGCCTGGAGGCAGAGGCGGGATTTCCAGCCTCTGGACCTCCAAGGGCTCAGAAAAAATGAAAACATTGGACAGGACATTCCAAATGCTCTCATCCAGATCTGAAATACTTTTTTTCTTTTTTTGAGACGAGTCTCGTTCTGTCGCCCAGGCTGGAGTGCAGCGGCCCAATTTCGGCTCACTGCAACCTCTGCCTCCCAAGTTCAAGCGATTCTCCTGCCTTAGCCTCCCAACTAACTGGGATTACAGGAACTCGCCACCACGCCCGGCTATTTTTTGTATTTTTAGTATAGGCGGGGTTTCACCATGTTGGCCAGGCTGGTCTTGAACTCCTGACCTTAGGGTGATCCGCCCGCCTCAGCCTCCCAAAGTGCTGGGATTACCGGCGTGAGCCACCGCGCCCGGCCACACTTTTTCTTTTAACCTGTTCGATCATGTTAAGACACCTTTTGCTGTGCTCTTTCTTCAACTCTATTGTGTGTTTAAGACCTCATAAGAGTGGCCTGTGTTCCAAAACAAAAAGTACATTACGACTTCGTAGGGTGGTTTTCATTATGGAACTGAAGCTACTTTTGACAGACTCACCTTGCATCAAGTTCTCCCTGAGACAACGGGAGGGGAAATGTGTGGGGTGTGGATGGAACAGGAATAGCCACAGTTAAGTGGCTGAGGAGGCCAGACCAAGTACAAAGTACATGCTGGTTCCCTATTCCATCTATTTTCCTGTGTCTGAAATTCTCCAAAATACAAAGTTTTTTTTTAAAAAAAAAAAAAAAAAAAAAAGCACATCTCTTTCAAAGAGAAAGAAGTATACTCGATTGGCATTATTACAGGATTTTGTCTGCAGACTTTGGTATGGTATAACTGCTCTTCACACCATTTCCCTTGGATTGAAATAGAATCTACAAGACATGAAACTAATCAGAACTCCTCAAAGCTCAGCCAAAATTAAGAAAACGGACCAGAACCAAAATTCCTCAAATAACCTCAAGGTTATCAATGAGAAGATTCATGGTGATACTTGGCAGAGGATGGAACTCATTTCCATTGTGCTACACCGTATGTCTCCTATAAGCTATTTTCCGCACTTCTGAAGAGCTAAACTTCAGCCTTCTGTGACACGGAAAGCGAGGAAATAAACAAGCCCCAGTGAGAGGAGGATGCCTCGGAGGGCGCTGAAATAAAAAAGGAAAGACAAGGGATTTCGGGAGTTAAGAAATCCTAAAGAAAGAAAAATGGGAGCATGCATTTGGAGAAAGAGAGGGGAAAGACAAGCATCTCAGGGAAACCAGAGAACACAGGAAGGGGAATGACAGGGGAAGGCGCTTCCTGGCGCTCCAACGCCCTGCAGCCCTCGCCACCCACATCCCCGGACTCCCGGGGCGGGAGGGCTGCGGACACCTGGGACTCGGGGGA